AAAATTTGACCCTTGCTTCAAAATGTTTTTGTGGCGCAGTTACGCATGACCTCTTGGCAGTAGAAAATAACATTGATTTTGAATTACGTTCCTGGGATCAACAGTGTTTCCATACCATTTACAGAGAACAAAAGCGTCGTATTTGAGTCATGGTACCAGTACAGTTGCAGTTCGATTGGATCTCGTTTTATTGAGAAACTCTTTTGAAAAAATTGGTTTCTGTTTACATTTATATTTGACTTTAGAGAGATTAAGGTTGTTTAAATCTGTATGAACATTTCAGAACCAAACTACAGGATTCGAGCGTGAGTCGCAAATTCACAAAAATTCAAAGCATCTAGGAGGCAACAGGAGGCTTTCCACAGATTGCTCTAAGAGGTCCTTTTTTAAGGTCTCAGTGGAGAGCAGAGGATAAACTAAGATATTCTTAGAACATATACATTTAACACTAAATCAGTTTCATTCTCTGACCTCGGCCGATTCAGAAGTTTATAGGTTACAGATCTTAGAGGTCCTAAATAAGAACGATATTGAAGCCAATCAACCTAAAGCATAAAGCTGAATCATTAAGCGACTTAAAAGATACTTATAAAATCTTGAAATAATGCAAACAGCCTCTGTACGTGTGTTAGAACAATATCAACTACATGTGACATTTACTGATCTGCGATTCGATCCGTGCAGCTGTTCTCTTAACTTCCTAAAGTGGTACTTGGTACAATCGTAAAGCGAAGAGTGACAGTAGTTCAGTTTGGATAACAGAAAGGCGTGCGCTACAAGTTTAGAGGACTTCTTCATACATATATTGCACATGCGTTACTGAATGCTTTGTTTTGTTGAACCCATGAACTCTCAGAAGTTATTAACATGAATCTTCACCCTATAATATCCATATATTAATCAGCAAAGAGGTAATGAGAATATGCAAACTTATCAAGTAGAAGCTGCTCTCTAGATCTAGCACCAAGTTCTCATAACTAACTTACAAGGAAATGTGTAGCAGCTGGAGAGGAGACTTAACAATCAGATTTTGGGAGTGAAAGGCTTAAAGGCTTTAAATTTAGATTTTGCAAAAATTATTACCCAAAAAAAACAAAACAAAAAAACAGCAGGGCGGGAAAGGCCGCCTCCGTACTCCCCTAATCAATTTATGAAGTATGCTCATCAACCAATCTGTAAAACGATGGCAAGGGTCGTCTCTGGCTGCGTTTAGTGGTTTTTCACACCTCTGCTGCAGTAGAAGAGCTTAGAGCTTCATTCAAATGTTTCTCCTGAACTATCAGTGATTCGAGCTCTGTAGGCATGTGGCATCTAATTCATTATCGTCTTCGATCAAATTATAAAGCTGGCTCCTCCTGGATTTTATTTCAGCTCAGAGAGCTCACTTGGCCATAGTTTCGCAGGTTGGTCACAAAATGTAAAGACTTACTAGAGCCAATCCGTCATGCAATTTGTCACAGTCATGTCGAGACTCTTTCATTATTGATATTTTACTTTTAAGGCTGCAGTGCGGAATTAACTCGATTGCGAACTAATCTCAACCTGAAGAAACAAAGTGTCATCCACAATGAATGGAAATTAGTACTTTTAATTTGTAGCCAAAACCATCTGTTTCAGTTTTGGTGTAGAATGGATCATTGTTTATTCTCTCTTTTTCCTCCTTCTTTGCCTGTTTCAGAATTTCTCTGAAACACTGAACCTTTATCAAAATCAACTTGAGAATCTAGCTTAGTAATTCTTTTTTGCCTCTAAGGCTAGAGCACGGAATCAATTAGATGGCGACCTAATCTCGACCTGTAGAAACAAAGTGTCATCCACAATGTAGTGCTGCGATTTAAGTTCCTCATGAGATATGAAACACTTAAAACCTATTCCTATGTTTTCTTCTGTTGTAGGCCTAGTAAAGCTCGGGATATTCTGTCCTATGAGCTCCGCAGTTTTGTCATCTCTTTTGCCTGGCTTATCCTGTTGATCAATCAATGTGAACTTCACTTCCTTATTGAAATGCCAAGGTAATATTGCGTCATATTCACCTTTCATTATAATAATGAACACCGACAGGTGAATATTCTTTGCATCTCCAATTCCATTAGGGCAAATGAGCACTTTTAATTTGTACCCAAAACCATCTGTTTCAGTTTTGGTGTACGACGGATCACTGTATATCTTCTCTTTGCCCTCGTTCTTTGCCTTTTTCAAAATTTCACAGAAACCGTCGATCCTCCAAAGAAACACGTTTGTATGTTTTACGTTTGACAGCTGTAGCAGTCCCATGGCATTTTTCAAAGCAGCCACTGTCTCATTTAACAAAGCCACTGCGTTGTCGAACTTATCCTCTATCTTCTTCAATTTGTTCTTTGCTTCATTCAATTCTTTTTCTGTGTTATTTAGCTTAACACAAGCGAAATCAAGATGGACTCTTGTGGCTGATTCGAGATGAGACTCCACTTCCTGGCGTTGGACCTACACGAAAAGTTAACCCCTTTCAAGACAGTTTTATACGTCGTTTACATAAACAGACATAGAGCTCTTGTTTAATAACGATATCAGAACTTGTGGACTTCAAAAACTCAAATGTACGGCGATGAAGTGTTATGACGACTTATTAGAACAACAGCGCTGTTGCTAATTGTCCTTCAGGACTTGTTCTTCGGATGTTCAAAATCGCGCACGGCCAAGTGCCGAGTCCAGTCAAAATTTTCTAGTGGAGCAACTTTAATTCAAGAATAGTATCCTTGGGAATAAGGAAGCCTTTAAGGTTTGGAAACAAAAAATTGGCGTGGGAAGGGGATTGTGAGGTGGTTACTTTTCACGACTGCTTTCTTTGGACTTTTTTGACATATTCAGATTTAGGCTCAAGCGTTTCAGAAACTGAAAAATATTTCATTTTAGCAGAACCTTTGCTTTCAAAACCGAGCGCACGGAACACCATTTAAGACACCTTTTTATCCGCGAGCGTGCAAGAAGTGGATACTGTGATCGGTTTTCGGTTCAAGATTTCCTGCTTCCAAAGATATCCTTAACGCTTTCACTAATTAGAAACTCTAGGAATTTCTTCTCTAAAAAGGAATAAGCATTTTTATTAACCATGCTTCGAACTGCAAAAGTCACCTTGATAGCAAGAAAACAAAGATGCATTTTGTAAATTCACTTTGCTAGCATTTGATTTTTGTTGTTGGATTTTTACAATTAGTGACATGAATTCATGAAGGCTCTACTATGATGTTTTCACCTTTTCCTTACAACCCATCGGTGTATATGGACAGGAAATCCACGTTAGCCGACACTGGTCTTCAATGTGAGTTGAAACCTGAACCATGTCAAAGAAAGGAATAAACATGTTAGCAAAAGGGATAGCAATCCTCTCTTCTACCGTAGATGTGTGAATTGCTTTTGGAAAATAAAGTGTGATAGTATCCGTTCCTTTCATATGATGTCGCTTATGCACCACCTGAAAAAAGACTGCGAGGTAAATGATAAATTAATTTTTTTGTTCTGCTGAAAAAAAAAAATTGGAAAAAGAAATAAAAAAATTCCCTTTAACGTTCTGGTAACCTTTCTCCCTTTTATAAAAACTGTGTGCATAAAGATGCAATTAAAGGTCTCACCATTTCTCTGGGAATCGTACGACCACAGTGGTTCGGACAAGTTAGTGGGAACAAGGGGCAACTTGTGACATGATCCAACAGAAATAAATATTGAAAACATTTTTGGAATTTAATTTTTTCCTCTTGTCAGATCCCCTGCTTTTTTTACAATCCAGTCAGGACTCATGTTTCTGAGGTTTATTTTTTTCTTAGTTACATAGTTTATTTCTTACTCGGCCTAAAGGCTCGTGCGGTCAGTACATAGAAATGTTGACTTGAAGCTCTTCTTCGAGGATAATCCAATTTATCAAAAAAGTGAAAACGTGAATTCTATGACTATCACAGTACCCACCTCCATTTGACACTCTGGGTGGGGTTCAAAACAGTGAATGCATTGAAGGATTCTCCATAG